GTGCACGTCCCTCCGTGCACACCTCCATCCTAAAAGGATCTCTGGAGGAGAGAGAGGCAGGCATCTCAAACACACGGAGAGCATAAAACAGAGAGATCAAGAGCAAGAATAGGAGAGACCGACAGTCATGGAGACAGAGAAAAAGAAAGAGACTCACAGAGACACACAGAGGGAAAGATGGAGAAAGAGAAAAGGAGAAGGAAAGGGAAAGGGAAAAGAAAAAGGAGAGAGAGAGAGAGAGAGAGAGAGAGAGAGAGAGAGAGAGAGAGAGGGGGGAGAGAGAGAGAGAGAGAGAGAGAGAGAGAGAGAGAGAGAGAGAGAGAGGATGGCTTTCCTTCTGCCTGCTGCCTTCCAAAAGTAGTGCATCACAGGGGTTAGGGTGTAGCTCAGCAGCAGGTGTGAGGCCCTGGGTTCGGTCTCCAGTATGGCAAAACAAAAAAACAAATGATCATTGTGACCATAACACTGATTCCTTTAAGTTGTATCAGTCCTTCTCTGGTCCTGTGTCAGTCTGCCTTTGTGACGGACTACTTCACAGATATCCACGTGACGGTCCACCCCTTCCTTGTGGGCATTTGTGAGGTCTTTATCATGAGACCCCCTTCTTTTCCTTCACATATTGCCTTCTTAGATCCTGGTCTCCTCTCCAAATGGCTCCCCTGTATTTTCGTTATTTCTGTGACATGGTGTAAAGGCACAGCTGAGTCTCCATTTTCTCTGAGAATGGGAGGCATCTGCTGCATGGAACATGAGGCCTCGTAGCCCAGGAGAGGGTCTCAGGCTATCACCAGCCAAGGGGCAGCACCAACTTCCACTACACATCCTGGATCCTATCTTTCATGAAGTCAAATTCACAATCATTGTAGCATCTCTTATATGTCTGCCAGATGCTAGGGACCCAGGACAAGTTCCTGCCGTCACTAGCAGGCAGAATACAGTAAGCAGGCAAACAAATACATAATACAATTCCAGGTACAGATCGGTGCTTTGAAGAAAAAAATAATGTAGAATGGAGACTGTGCTTGATTGGTTGGGTAGCAGGTACTTGCATTCAGAGGAAAGACACTGGAGCAGAGACTTAAGTAATGTGACAGGAGGAGACCAAGTTAGTGTATGCTAGGTACATCCCTATGAGCTAGTAACCATCAAGGAAAAGAAAAAAATGTCTTCACATGCTTTGATTTCATTTGGTGACTTAGATCGGTTGTTAATTTTTTTTTAAAGGTTTAGCTCAGTAGTGCTGCCCACCACCTACCTCAGAAGCACAAGGACCAAAGTTTAATCCCTGGTACCAAGAAAAAAAAAAAGGGTTCCCACTTCCCACTTATATTCTAATATGCTAGAGTTACCTACACTACTGTAGGTGGTATATGGTTAAATGATACCTGTCCAAATGCCTAGCCAAGGGGGTCACTTGGTCATGGAAAAGAAGGAAAGTCAGATAATCTGTGCCCTGGACCCGCACAGAACTTTCTTCCTAGAGCTGTGTGTTCCATCCATAGCCAGGGTTTGGTCAGGCCTTTCCCCACTAGACCCCACACTTAGCACAGCGAAGCCAGAAAAGGCAGTCCTATATGCTGTAGCACCAACCAAGCTGCCCATCCTGCTGCGGACATTCTGCAGGACACAGTGGAGGCAGAGGGGAAACAAAGCAACCTTAAATCTTAAGCTGTAAAGAACAGACATTTTCAGACATGCTCTTGTCAATTCTCAGTACTCTGAGCAGTGTGCTCAGAGGAACTGAGAATTCTCTGCAATGAGTGGTAAATTTGGAAGTGACTACCTCCACCCAAGCCACACTGGATCACAAAAGTATGTTGGTGCTGTGAAACTTGATTATGAAACAAGAAAAGAATACAGAACAGAGAATTTCTGCAGTCATATATGGATAATTTCCATGGAAGAGATTACCAATTAATGCTGGACTTTCACTGCGTGTATGTGTGTGTGTGTGTGTGTGTGTGTGTGTGTGTGTGTATATATATATATATATATAAAATCTGTGTATATAGAAGAGTGTCTTGCTTGAGACAAGATTACTTGCTAGAGTGTTCCAACCATCATACTTCCTTGTTTTACAGCAAGAACTAAAGCCAAAACTGTAAATGAATAAAAACAAAGGGGTGGTTTTAAACCTGATCTTCTCTGTGATTATATTAAAAATTAAAGCTTTTATAGGGTTGAGAGAGTGTGAGAGGGAGGGATGAGAGAGAGAGAGAGAGAGAGAGAGAGAGAGAGTAACCTAAACAAAGTCAGAAGGGAAACAGCATCACATAATAGACAAAGGGCTAATTTTTATTATTTACAAAGAGCTCTCACAAATCAATAAGGAAAAGACAAACAGCCCAACAGATAAATGAGCAAAGTACAAGAACATGCAGATAGCAGAGAAAAGCAACACATTTGGCCAGTGACATAGGAAAAGAAGCTCTATCTTACTCATAATTAGCAATATGAAAATTAAATATTATTTTATTATTTTAACAGCTTGACAAATTTTTAAAATTAGTTCCACTTTGGAGCCTCAGAAGTGACCCTTGAGACACATTTAAATGTACGCAGCTGATTTGGGAGGAATCCCAGGAAATGACAGAGTGGGGCAAGGAGAAAGAACGGGAGGGGAGGGGAGGGGAGACATGGAGCAAGTCAGCCATGTTGCTGGAGCTGTGGGAGAGGAGGATGGAGGGATTCTCAGAATTCTCTTGTCTGAGGGACTTTTGTGTGCCCCAGCTCCCATCACACACTAGCCCAAGGGCTCTGGGGAGAGGCACGGTCATCCATTCCCCAGCCATTCTGCTCCACAGGGAGCCTCTGGGACAAAGTGGTCCCCAGCCTCAAGCCCAAGACAAAGAAGTTCAGATGCTAATAGTGGAAAGCTGGGAATCAGCAGCGGGCACTGAAATGACTGCAGAACGAGGATGGAGGGCCGGAGAAGGTCACACAGGCTCCTGCGTTATCATCTCCTTTGATACTTAGATCAGCCTCGCGGAATAGACAATGCTTCTATTCCCACTTTCAAGAGAGCAAACAGAGACACCAAGAGGTTGGTTAAACAACCTTCCCGAGACCCTGAGATGAGACGGCAGGGGTTTCTCCAGGGAAGGCTGCTTCCGTACCTCAAGGCTGTAGTCTCTGTTGCTGAGGTGCCCTGAGCAAAGGCGCTGCCCTGACCTGACTTGCTCCGCCATTCCGTTCTCACCTCCTCCTTCCTGACCGGGGTTTTGACTGTGCCTGTCTGATGGGATTGTTCCATCAATTCCCGGTTGTGCACCCAGTGCTGGGTGTATGTTGCATGTTATCTCTCCAAAGAGCCCTTCCCTACCTGCCTCCCTCCCCGACCCTCAAATTTTAAAGGACGACTCAGTCTCTGTCCTCTTCAACATTGTTTCCTTTCCTTTTCTTCACTGCTATGGTTTTCCAGTAATTTTTCCATTTGTCATTTGTTAACTTTTTATTTTCTGACTCCTTCCGATAGGTTCTCAGTTCTATAATGTTAGGGGTGTCATTTGTTTTGTTCCCTGGGGCATCCAGAACTTTTCTTGGAACATAATAAATGATCATTAAACATTAATTAATGACTAAAAATGAAAAGAACACATTGAATCAGATGGTGCCCTCCTGTAATGCCAGCACTCTGGGAGCCCGGGGCAAGAGAATTTAAAGTTTGCCCCAGCCCAGGCACTTAGTGACTTAGCAAGACCCTGTCTCAAAGTAAAAAGAAACAAAAGGAAAAAAAGGAAGGGAGGGTTTCCCCAGCTTTGAAACAACTGCACATCCTTAAAATATTTGTATAGCAGCCTAGAAACATTTATCCCTCCCCTTACCGCTGCTCTGGCCTTATGACTGGTTGCATGAGCTGCAGGTGAAGGTCCCTCAGGCAGCCCTGTGCCTTCATTCATCCTTTGTCTGAAACCCTGGGCACAGTCACATGAATGGACTTCACCAGCCTTGCCACATGGGGCTGGGTAGGTGGCATCATGCAGTACATGCATGTGGGAATTCCTCTGTAGCCCTTCTTGAGAAATTTATGTTTTTTCCAACTCCCCAAAAAATCAGTCAAGAAGCTGAGAAAAATGACAGAAAATCATTCCCCCATGAGAACTAAAGTTCAGCCATGAACATGCAGCCATTACTCATTTGAAGGCATCTACTGATGCCAATCAAAACCAAGAGCAGCAAATGCTGAAGTGCGGGGTCCAAGGTTAAGAACATTTCTAGGAACCAGGATGAGCATGGATCCTAATCCACTGAGCCACTCTTCCTTACAGTCGTGCGCTCGTGGCCCTGCTGTAATGGTGAGCCACTCTCGCATATAAGTATTATACATTTGCGTGCATAGTATATGTTATCAAGTTCTATGAGTGGACTTCTAAGAATAACAAAGTTAGAAGCAAAACAAGTTGTGACTTATTTTCTTGACTATGTGTAGTAGGTGTTTCAACCTTGCTGGAAAATCTGAATGTTACATCATTCAAATATTACCCAGTAATGTTCACTGGCATTTTCCACTATTTGAATATTTGCTAGAAGCAAATATTTTTATAGCATCTATGAAGATCTATAAATACTTTAAACTCACTATTTTTATTTATCCAACAATGTTTTTAGATATCCAGAAGAATTCCTAAGGACAAGAATATGAGGAATGCTAGAAGTATTTTGAGAACAGCTTATAATTTGAAGAATTGCAGTTTCTCATTCCCAGATCCCAAAGACTAATATCTGTGGGGACTTTGGAAACCCAACTTAGCTGACACAGAGGCTACAGCTTCTCAGTTGGAAGAGCTTCGCTGTTCCATACCCGAATGGTGAGGTCTTGTGAGGCAGCTCACAAGCCCCAGAAAGAGCAAACAAATCAGTGAGCACAAATATCTTCTATTCATGACCAGCGAGTGAACAAGTAGTCAGCAGCTGCTGGTGACAGGGTGTCTGCCCATAGAAGACCACAGTAACGGTGAGAGTGATGCTGACAACATGCATGTGCATGCCTGCACGCGTGTGTGTGTTTGTACTTTTCAGATTTCCCAGGAACACTGGCATCTCTGTTCTGTAAATGTCCCATCTGTAAAATAAGAGAGATAGAGAAGTCCTTGATTTTTTCAAACATTATTTTCAGTGAAACCCGAGCCTAGAAAAACTCCAAAGTACACCATAAAAGTAACGGTTACATTAGCTATGTGCCTGGTATGGTTCTGAGCACTGAATGCACCCTAACTCATCTTGGCTTTACCACATCTGTAGTTCTGTATGGCAGGTGAGGAGCCTGGCATGATTCCACAGGGTTTAAGTAACCCTTCCAGAGCCATGCAAGAACAGTCTGGTTCCTGAACCTGAAATTTGGTGGCAGCAAAAAGCCGCATTCCATTTGTCAACCTTCCTCTTCTTTGTCCCCACAGTGGCCTCCTGGCACCTCTGGCTCCCCAGAAGAAAGCTGGAAAACTGTGCCATGGCCCACATGACTTTCAAGCTCCTTTCTGGTTTAGGTCTAATGAAAAAAACACTGCAATACCACTGTCCATTCTTTTAGTTTGGTGCAATCTGTGAATCTATGGAGCTTTATAGCACCTCACATGAGTGCAAACTCCTCTAAGATCGACAAGGCATGGACTCTTTGCTTGTTATTTATGATCAGAAACACAGAGATCAGCTTGAGGTCATAATTCAGTTAAATGATTTCTAGGCAACCCTAGAAATCAGGTCCCCTGAGTCCTGGACCAGGTTTTTTCCTAAGGCACTTGAAAGCACTTCGTCAAGTGTGAATGCTGTACAAATAGTGATTTTTACATGTCTCTTCCAGTCTTGTAGAAAATAGCTGTTCATTAAAGACCCGTTAAATTGAATAGAAGGTTATGTCTGCTTTATGATTATAGCGTTAAAATCAGGAAGGAGCAACGGAAAATGCCACAAATTCTGATTCGGTTTACCTTTCCATTGTTGATCATTTCTTTCAAGTATGCCCTTTGCTATCCTTAGACTACCACACACAAAATCAAACAGGCACTTGCTGATTACTGTTCAGCTGACCATGAGGGTCAGAGGCCCAGAAGCGCAGTGCATGCTACAACAACCTCAGTGATTCCAAAGGTGCTGCAGGGTAGCATGGAAGCCCCACACTCGAGTGCTCGCAGTGTTGCCTCCCAGAACTACATGACGTCTCCGCTGGCACCTGCTGCTGCTCACTGAGTGCCTTTAAAATCTGCAATCTCTGTGACCCAGACATTCCAATTCTAACAAGGTCCAAATATGTGGTTACAGAGCCCGTTCATTGCAGCATTATTTCGAAAAGCAAAAACTTAGGACCAGCCTGAAAAGTCAGCAGTGGGAATTGGCTCACTATATTGTGTTCAATGTAGCCCATAGACTAGTAATTAGTGATTGGAATATTTTGTGCATAGCAAATACTGTAAGGGCATGAGATAATATTCATAATATATTTTTAAGAGGTTAAAAAAAAGCACGTAATAGGAGCTGAGGGCATAGCTCAGTGGAGAAGCATGTGCTCAGCATATGCAGGATCCTGGGTTCAATCCCCAGCACACTCCCTCCAAAATCAGGGAATATAATAATAAGTGCTGTTTGAGCACAGATATATTTTAATTCAATGTATTATATAATGTACACGTTGTATAATGAGATTGAAAGAACGTATATTAAAATTTAACAGTAGTTATTTTCAATGAGATTACAGATGGTTTTATGGTTTATCATTTTGCACAGCTCAAGTTTTATAAAAAGCACATTTATTTGTATGATGTAAAACAATAAAATTGTGTTAACATGATGCTATTCAAGAATACTTCGTAGCCCTAAAGGATGTTTATGCTGTAGGATGAATAATAGCACTAACGAGTACAGATTGTATTTAATGAGTACTATTACGTGGAGCCACTCTGCTAAATTCTTCACAACTTGCTTCCTTCAGTCTTTACAAACATCATGTAAGGAAGGCACTGTGATTTGGATTCTTTTTAGATAGGAAATCTGTGGTTCTAAGAAGTTGAGACTAAAATTGTCACACATAACATTTTGCATCAATGCAAAAACAGGTATAACTAACTCATTTGCATGTGTACAAAAGTACACACTCGTGCACATATATATACACAAATATTCTCAGTTGTTTTCTTGTGTGTGTCTGTGTGCATGTGGTGGGATAATGACTTGTTTTTTATTTCTTGGACTTAACTATATTTTTATCTTTCTTTTGAGGGGGAGTTTGAGACAGGGTCTCACGGTATAGTTGAGACTGACCTGGAACTGACTATGTAGCCCTGGCTGGTCTCGAACTCACAGTGATCCTCCTGTCTCAGCCTCCTGAGTGCTGGAATTACAGGTATGCGCCACCATGACCAACCTATATTTTTATCTTTCTAAAATGAGAATATAAACTGGCTTTTTACTTTTTAGAAAAGGTAAATATACTTTCAGATTGGAAAAGGAAGTTTGCAGGAACCCATCTCTGTACACACCTATGAAAAGCAAAGGTGGGTCCATGCTAGAGGAGGAAAATTCAAAGGAGCTCGTGTCCCAAGTCTGGAAGAGCCTCCCTGCCAATCTTTTACAGCATCCTGTAGCCTGCATCTTTCTTGTCTTCTGATCCCCTCTCCCAGAGCGCTCCTCTGCTTCCCGGCAAGGGTGCTTCATGGGGCTCCCCTAAGAGGCCCAACATCTTGTGTGGAGGCTGAGCTGAAAGCCCTCACCCAGGGTACCTGCTGCAGACTCTCATGGTCCCTTCGGGATTCTTGGTAGCCCAAGGCCTTGGACTATGCAGGCTCATATGCGAATCGTAATTCTGGCAGCAGAGACATCTCATGTAAGTCACTTCATATCCATAAGCCCAGCTCACCTGCTGTAAAACATACACACTGTTATTACTATCAGATCTGAGGGCTACAAAAAATGTATGCCAAGAACTCAGCACAATGCATGGCATGTAGTAATAAATATTACTACTTGTGTGATTATGATTACCACTGCAATTATAGCATTATGATATATGAACAATAATTTTATCAACATTTTCCATGCCTCCCTTCATTTGGCTCCCTCCTCAGGCTTGACCTTCCCAAGCCCTGATTCTTTTCCTACCCCAACATCAGTCTTCTCATTTCTCCCAGACTGTAATCAGAGTCTCACAGTCAAACTCAATGAATGACATTAATTACTATGAATATACTGAGTTAATAATGGTTCCGTGTTTGCTTTTAACAAAGATCTTCAATCCCTTAACCCCCCAAAATGGAAAATGATGGGAGTACAGGCTCCATAAGAGGGTGGCAAGGACCTGGATCCTGAGGGAATGATGGTCCCAGAGAGAGGAAGAGATCTCACAGCCTCATGCACATTTCCTTTGCCCCTTCCCGCCCTTCTCTTGAAGATTCTGAATTTCTTATGTTCATTGTCATGTTTCATAAACATTCACTTCCGTGTGTTAAGACAAACGCATATGGAGGTCTTCAAGCTGCTCTCAATAACCCAGCCTCTTTATTATGGCCACAGCCTCACTGTATACAGCACTGCCATAGTCTAAGGATCAAAAAGGGATGTTTGCTTTTGCTGAACAAATGCCCACCCAGCCACCCAAGTGGGCTGAGACATCGGTAAGGCCAGGAATGTATTTAGGGAAGGTGTGGCAATGCCAGACATACAGAAGATTATGGATTTAGTGGTTGGGAAAAACAGAGCAGAAAATAGGCTGCATTTAGTCATTGCTGCGAACTTGAAACCATAAGCCATAAATGCATTGTTAGCTCCTCAGAATGACTAACTGGGACATGAAGATCAGAAGACACCCTGTTTTCAACTCGCTGGTCTCACTGCTTGAACACCATCCTCTGATGGCTGTACTTATGACTCCAACCCTCCCAATCTGCCTTACTCCAAATAAATCATCACCAGTCTCACTGACCCAAATCCCATTTCTTACTAAACATCTTCGGTCTTTCTCTCTTGAGCCTAAATGCAAGTGCAGTAAAAAATATTATGAATCCTTTAGGGTACTTTCCACCAATTAAAAGTGGCATATTAAATTTCTGAAAACCTTTGTAATCTGCAGTATAAAATCACATTTTATGGTAGCAGATAATTTAGAATCCATAAGCTAATTAAATGAAGTGAATGACAACTGTATTCTCTAGATAAATGATATATCAATCAGAGATAATGTACAAATTTAAGGGACTGGAACCTTTGAGATAAAAAAAAAACAATGAAAAATCTGAGTAGCAAATGTTGGTCCTTTAACAGAAATCTGACTAATTGCATTAACTGCATAATGGAATTAATTGCTGGAGTCTTTCTGCCTCCAGATCTCCCTGGGACTATGGGAGTAGATTTTTTTTTTTTTTTTTTTTTTTTTTT